AAAAGAAAAAAAAAAAAAAGAATAGAAATATAATCATTTCCTTTCACTTTTTTCTCTAAGGAAATTGAGAGTATGGATCAGGTCCATAAAGCAATCCTCACTGTTTGGCAAGGGTAAATTTATAGCACTGTTCTCTCTTAATAACTCTATGATTAATTTTAACATCTACTACACATGGTCTAATTATATTTGCTTGAAGGGTATATGGATTAAAAGTCTTTAACATACTCTTTCAGTTATCAGGGCAGTAACTATTTTATTCCATATGGTTTTGGGTACTAACACTCTTTGCCTAACCTAAAAAATGTTACAGTCTCAGTCATTCCTTAGCATGGACTAATAGAGACTAAAATATTATCTGCTAATCCTATCAATCTATAAGCCTTTCCCAAGAGGAAGGTCACTAAAAAGATACAAAGTAAAGTGATCTTGCCTAGGAAAAATGAGCTCTATCTAATCAGAGAAAAAGTGTGTTTCTGGAAAGATTGCCATTCCTGACAAACAACGTATGGCAAATCTCCACACTTCTGTATAGCCTCACAGTAATTTCCACAATTATTTTTCTACTCCACTGACATGACTTTTAGGAAACAAAAAAAATAAGAATAACTAAGAGACATTGGCAAAGGCAGATAATCACTTTTTAATTTTGTTTTTGTTTTTTGAGACAGGGTCTCACTATGTAGTTTAGGCTGGCCTCGAACTCATAGTGATCCTCCTGCCTCAGCCTCCCCAGTGCTGGGATCACAGGCATGCACCACCATGCCTGGTGCTTTTTTTTTTTTTTATTCAAATTTTAACTTTGAGTTCTCACAGTATAAGACAAAGAACCCTGAACTAGGAGCCAGAAGACAGGAGTGTTAGTTGTTTCTGCCATTTGCTAATTGTGTAATTTTGAGCAAGTTGTTTTACCTTTCATTATCCTTTTCCACCTTTTAGAACACAGTTAAAATACTTTGTTGTGCTTATTTTCCAATCAAAGTACATATATCTATGAAATTATAAAGCCCTATGCAAATTTAGAGTAATATATGCATATACATGTATGCATGTTCATATATATGTATATTGTATAAATATACATTCTGATACTTTTCAGTATTGCCAGGTTTAACTAATATTTTAAATTCTAATTTAACAAACTATTCAATAAATAGTTTAAGACTCCAGGGAGTCAAAGATGAACAAGATCTAGACTCTGATTTAAAGCATTAAAACAATTACACAATAAAGAAGAGGATAAACATACATATCAAGTGTTGTTGGAGCCTGGCAAAGAGCCTGGCAACTAACCCTAACTGAGGGAAAGGGGCAGACATCAGATAGGAAACAGCAATGAGCCTTGGAGGAGGAGGTCAAGTGATAGAATTGTGTCCAGGAACCAGGGCTTCACAATACAGCACAAAGAGTCACAAAATTTCTTCTTGCAACTGACTCTACTACCTTCAATAATTAAAGCTCGCATTCAGTGCATTTAGACCTCTCTCAGCGCAAGTCTCTTGCCATACAGGGTTTTTTGGCTGGGGATGCAGCTCAGTCTAGTGTCTAGTGTGTGCCAGTCCCTGGGTTCAATTCCCAGGATAAAAAATAAAATAAAACAAAACAAATTTAAAAAATAAATTAAATAAAGCAATTAGACAATATGAATTTGTAAGTTCTTCCAGTTCTAAAGTTGATTCCGAGTCAAGCTCTGGTCATTGTACCAAAAAGAGTTTAAGAAAATAAGCCTGAATGATTAAAAAAATGAATTTTCCCATTAACCTCTTTTTCTTGGAGTTGAAAGTCTGAGGCTCTCTCCCTAGTATGAGCTCTCACCCTGTGAAGAGTGGAAATTGGAAAAATATCAAGAGACTGAGAAGCAAATAATGCAGGAGCCTAGCAGGAAGTGAAGCATTTCAGTTTGCAAAGATGTCGCTTAGACCAATAAGGAAATAGGCAGTAGGTAGGAAGTTACGGTGTTTATATTCCTATTTCCAAGAAAAGACTGGAATAAAACCAAAATGGGACATTAAACTTTACACTTCCATAAAATGAGTTGTTGTCTGGGTTTCTGCCTTGGTCAACCACTTATTTAAAAAAGCCTATTGTGCTCCTTGTGGCAGCAGATATACTAAAGAGCCTATCGACTGGGGATGTGAATCAGCACTTGCTTAAAATGCCCCAGGTTTCTATCTCCAGCTCTACAATAACAACAGTGACGATGACGACAACAACAATAATAATATTAACTTTAAAGCCTATTTGTAAAGAGGTCAGTTTAGGAATTATAGAGAAAAGAATCAAAAACTTAAATATCAACAACTAAATGAGTTCCAGGAATGACAGCAAATATAAATTCTACCAACTAATCTAGTTCACCAAACATTTATCCCACTATGTTTAAAATCCTACTTCCAGGGCTAAAGAGGTTCCCCGTCCTGATGGGAAGCCTTTAAGAAAGACAGTACATTTTGGGCTGGGGATTTAGCTCAGTGGTTCTTGTGCCTGCCTTGCAAGCGCAAGGTCCTGAGTTCAATCCCTGGTACCAAAAAAAAAAAAAAGAAAGACAGTACAGTAACTCTTACCCATCTATGATATTTTCAGGTGGGTGTTTTTCATCACTTGATGTGGCTAAAATCACTTCAGCCCCTTCAGAGCTCAAACAGAGATCAGCTTTTCTCATCTTTGTGTTTAACCTGCAAATAAAAGAAATAACAAAAAAGCAAATTCTTGATTCTCTAAACTTTATTGAAGAAAAGGAAGAAGGAAAACCTGTTGCCTAGCACTGCAGTTTAACAACTGAGCCATTCAACAAGCGGAAGGGACTCCAACATGTTTATTTACCTAAGTAAACTTCTGACTTCTCCCAGGGGTAAGCTGTAAAATAGGACTTTTTCCACCCCTCTGCTCAAAACAAAACAAAAGCAACTCTGACCACCTGAACTGATACCATTTTTCAGCTTCTAAAAGTAAAAGTTCTCAATTATATGGAGACAGTTAAACGAGAGTGACAGGAATTAGAAGGTAAGATTTTAAAAGCTGTGTGCATAGGGCCGGGGATTTAGGTCAGTGGTTCTGGTGCCTCCTTTGCAAGCACAAGGACCCGAGTTTGATCCCTGGTACAAAAATAAATAAATAAATAGATAAAAGCTGTGCATAATTTCTGAAAATAATCTGGAGGGTAACAACAGATTTTTTTGTGATTATTTATCCATACACATCAATTAACATGTCAAACAGTATTATTTGCAACTTAAAATGTACATATTGCCAGGCATGGTGACTCATGCCTGTAACCTGGGCACTCAGAAGGATGAGGCAGGAGGACTGGCATAAATTCAAGGCCAACTTGAACTGTGTAACCAGATCCTCTTTCAAAACATTAAGACAAAAGAAAACAAAAAAAATACATTATTAAATTTCCTTTTATTTAGATGGGGTCTTGCAATGTTGCCTGAACTTGTGGGTTCCAGCAATCCTGTCTCAGCTCATCCTGTTGCTGAGAATACAGGCATGTGCCACCACATCTGGCTATCATCATTTTTTGAACAGGAATATGAAGAGAAGATAGCCAGGAGTAATGGCACACGCATTCCTGTAATCTTAGTTATTCAGGAGGCTGAGGCAGGAGGATCATGTTTCAGGTCACTGGAGTCTCATCTTGGGAGCAGGAACAGTGGAAAGGAGACCAGACTCAGAAAGTATAGGCCAAGCAAGGCTCTTTAAACTGAGAGGGAGCTGCGCCCAGAACAAGAGTAGGTCAGACCAGCAGTTCTCAGAAAAGAGGAAAAGGGTGGTGGATACAGGGCACACAGCAAAGGCTCCTGCCTGTACTTGTCACTGAGGAGGTGAAGTATCTGACCCTGGAGCTCAGGGTTTCAGTCCACGGTCAGTGGGCTCTGAGACAAAAATATAATGGCAGAAGGGCAGGGAGGAGACAGCTGCTCAGCTCATGGAGTCTAGAAGCAGGGAGCAGGGAGCAGGGAGAGGAGGGCCCAGGGCCTAGACACAGCCCGCATGGTCACAGCTCCGTGACCCACCCAGAAGTGGGGGGGGGGGAGAAGGACAACCTTTTACTTCTTTTAAAACTCTGAATCGGTCACTCGGATAAGGGACTTAAGCACATTTCTGTGGAGGGTTATAGTTTGTGTGTTTGTTTGTTTGTTTATTGGTACGGGGGATCAAACTTGGGACCTTACGCTTGCAAGGCAGGCGGCAGAACCACTGAGCTAAATCCCCAGCCCTTGTGGAGGGTTATAGTTTAATAAAAAGGGCTTTGGAAGCTCTACTGTGGAGGCTGGAGGGTAAGGCAGAGGAGAAAATATAGGATTAGACCTTGTCATTGTCCTCCTCTTTGATGTAATGGTGACATAGATCCCAAGCAACCTGGAAAGCTTCATCTATAGAACTGAAGGAAGTTGGACATGGCGGTGCATGCCTGTGATCCTGGCACTCTTAGGGACTGAGGCAGGAAGACCACAAATTGGACTGCGGGCGTGGTGGTGCACACTTGTAATCCCAGCACTTGGGAGGCTGAGGCAAGAGGATTGCCAAGCGTTCAACTGGGCTACATAGTGAGTTCAAGCCTGAACTAGCAAGGCCCTCCCTCAAGAAACAACAACAACAAAAAACAATCAACCAACCAAACAAACAAACCAAGTTGGAGCCCAGCCTGGGTAACTCAGTAAGACTCCGGGTATTTTTTTTTCGGTACTGGGGATCGAACTAAGGACCTCACACTTGCCAGGCAGGCGCTGTGCTAATAAGCTAAATCCCCAGCCCTAGTAAGACTGTTTAAAAAAACAAAATTACAAAAATGTTTTGCCAGACGAGGTGGTGCACAGCTATAATCCCAGCACTTAGGAGGCTGAAGCAGGAGGATCACCATAAGTTTGAGATCGGCCTGGGCTACACAGTGAGTTCAAGGCCAGCCTGAACTACACAGTCAGAACTTCTCTCAAGAAACAAAAGAAAAAAAGAAACAACAAAACCCCTTTTTTAAAAAAAGGCAGATGGAGGGCCGGGGATTTAGCTTAGTGGTTTCACCGCCTGCTGCGCAAGCGCAAGGACCCGAGTTGAATCCCCGGTACCAAAAAAAAAAGGCAGATGGAGGGGTGTGGATGTAGCTCAGTGGTGCTGCACCTGCTTGGCAAGCAGAAGGTCCTGAGTTCAATTTCTGATACTGAAAAAAAAAAAAACAGGTGGAGATGTAGCTCAGTGCAGAGGTCCTATGTTAAATCCCCAATACCACAAAGAAAAAATGAGGGAGGCGCATCAAACTGTTTGTAAAGAGGAAAGCTTCAAGTGATGCACAATGCCCTTCATACATTTAATTTTTACTTCACTTCATAGTTTTACTTTACTTCATAGTTTAATTTTTCTTAAAAAATGAAAACTAGCTGGGTGTGGTAGTGCATGCCTGTAATCCCAGCACTTGGGTGAGGCACAGCCTGGTCTACAAAGTGAGTTCAAGGCCAGCCTACGTAGCAGAAACTGTCTCAAAAAGATGAATGAATGAATGAATAAAACTATTTTCTGGGTGTAGTGGTGTGCATCAGTAATCCCAGGAATCAAAGGGCCAAGGCAGGAGGATCCTTGGGAGTTTGAGGTCAATGTGGGCTACACAGTGAGTTGAAAACCAGTCTGAACTACATAGGAAAACCCTGTCTTAATGCCCATCCCCCTAAAGAAACCATTTCAACTAGCAAACAAAAAGTACAGAGAATATTGCACATGCTCAACTACTATGTATCCATTTTCCATTTTGTCATATTTACTTTACGATTTTTTTTTTTAGAAATAAGTAGCCCTCACTGGTCCCTTATAGTATTCTTCCTTACCCAGAGGTAACAGCTCTTCCAAGGCTGATGACTTTTCCTGCATTTACACTTACACCATATATGCACCCATAAAGAACTACGTTGTTCTTTTACACTTTAGATGTGTCTACAGGGTACATGCACATCCTTTTGGTATTTGCTTTTTCATGCAGTACTGATGCTGAGATTTTATTATATTGACACATGTAAATCTACTTATTCATGTTAACTGCCTGAGGGATTTCTCTATTTCCCTATGGATAGACATTTGGATCTATTTCTAATTTTTTGCTATCACAAACAAACTTGCAATATACATCTTTGTACATATGTGGAATTTTTTTGGGGGGGTACTGGGGATCAAACTCAGGTCCTTGAGCTTGTGAGGCAGATGGTGGAACCACTGAGCTAAATCCCTGGCCCTATATGTAGAATTTTTATTTTTTTCTTCAAAAATATAAATACATGTATTTTTATCAATACAAACTAGGTACACTAATTTCTTTTTTTCCCTTTTATCCCATTCCCCCCTCAAGCCCTCTCCCCTCCCATGTACTATTTATTTTTTGAGACAGGGTCTAACTATGTAGTTCAGGCTGACCTTGAACTATGTAGCCCAAGCTGGTTCAAAATCCCCAGTGAGCCTCCTGCCTCAGCCTCTTGAGTGCTGGGACTACAAGCATGCACAAGCTTGCCCAGCTGGGTTGTCTCTTTTTATTCTTTGATGGGTTGTCTTTTAAAAATTATATTTTTAGTCCTTTTCTTTTTGACTTGTAGGAATTGTATGTATGTGTGTATGTATGTATGTATGCACTTACAGTGTTGCAGATCAAACCAAGGCTTCATACCTGCCAGGCAAGTATAAACATTCTTTATTGTATGTGCTGCAACTCTTTTTCCCAGTCTCTAGCTTGATTTTATTTTTAACTCTTTACGGGGTTAGGTTTTTTTTTTTTCTTCCAAAAAAAATTTTTTTTTGGTTTTTTTTTTTATTGGAGTTTTTTTTTTTTTTTTTTTTTTTTTTTTTTGGTACCGGGGATTGAACTCAGGTCCTTGCGCTTTCGAAGCAGGCAGCAGAACCACTGGGCTAAATCCCCAGTCCTTAGTTTGTTTGCTTTTGATCCAAGTTTCCTACTTATCTTTCCTGTTACTGAACTATAATAGACATATTGAAAAGGGCACAAATCATAAGCATATTGCTTTTCTTTCACAAAGTAAATACATTAGTTAAGAACTAGAACACCTGAGAAGCATTTCCGGTTCCCCTTTCCAATTACTATTCTTTCCTGCTCCCCACAAGTAACCATGGTCCTTATTTCTATCACTGTACTTCTGCCTGAACTTTCTGTACACAGAATCACACAGTTCATACTGTTAGCATCTGACTCCCTTCCCTCATCACTGCATCTGTCATTTATCACAGTTCTATTAGCAGAGCTGAAGTACAACTAGAGGCACCTGCAACTCAGGCCCCCTCAGTTCCACTGCATATGAGATCAAAGAATTGAGCCAGGTGTGGTGGAGCATGCCTGTAATCCCAGACTTGGGAGGCTGAGGCAGGAGGATTGATGCAAGTTCGAGCCCAGCCTGGGCTACCTGTGCGTTCAAGGCCAGTCTGAATTACAGAGAGATCCTGTCTCACAAATAAACAAATAAATTAATTAATTAAAAATTTAAAAATCAAAGAACTGAGCTCCCATGGATTGTCACAGGAAACTGGGTACCAGCTGAAAAGCAAAGAGCTTTCTTTGGCCCTGGGTACTTAATACCAAAGCCCTGATAAAGGAAGGGGTGATATAATTCTCTGCCATCTGAAACCAGAAATAAACTGAAATTGTTTAAAACTATAACTTGGTGTAAACCTAGCATAAATCCTA